GCAGGCAAAATACGGGACTCCAGTCTAAGAGATAAAACATAATTCATTCATGTTGCATGCATCTTAGACATACTTAGGTGCATCACATTCATCATTTTAGCATACATTTTTTACAGCCCTTTAAGTCAGGTTTCAATTCTATTTCAAGATATACTCGACTTGCAAGCACCTTTAAAGAACGATGGTGTAGCTCAGCAGCAAGAAGCTACACCTCAACCGACTTTACATATATACGGATCTCAGAACCAATTTCAGATGGGTTCGAGAACCAATTCAGATCAAATTCAGTTCAGCTCAACTCAACAATGAGCAACATGTTTCCAGTTAACACTTTCAAGCCAGATTTCAATTCCACGACGGAAGATATCCGGCTGTCAGAATTTATCAGTAGGTTTTCCCAGACCAGCTTAGGAGAACCACCGGAAGAATCATGACCGTTTTCGACCCGTAAAGGGAAGCCATTTTTAAACAAACTATTTGCAGCTTAGCTCAAGGCCAGAAGGGCTACCTGCCACCAAGACCTTCGAGTTCGACTACGCTCAGCTCCAAGGCACATCATTTACAGAATAGCTTAAGTCGAGAAGGGCTATCTGCCAAAGACCCCCGAGTTCGATTACACTCAGCTTCGAGGGCACATCATTTACAGCATAACTCAAGGCTAGAAGGGTTATCTGTGACCAAAAGACCTTTGAGTTCGACTACGCTCAGCTCAACGGCACATCATTTGCAGCATAGCTTAAGTCGAGAAAGGCTATCTGCCAAAGACCCCCAAGTTTGATTACACTCAGCTTCGAGGGCACATCATTTGCAGCATAACTTAAGTCGAGAAGGGTTATCTGCCAACCAAAGACCTTTGAGTTCGACTACGCTCAGCGCCAAGGCACATCATTTGCAGCATAGCTTAAGTCGAGAAGGGCTATCTGCCAAAGACCCCCAAGTTCGACTACACTCAGCTTCGAGGGCACATCATTTGCAGCATAACTTAAGTCGAGAAGGGTTATCTGCCAACCAAAGACCTTTGAGCTCGACTACGCTCAGCTCCAAGGCACATCATTTGCAGAATAACTTAAGTCAAGAAGGGCTATCTGCCAAAGACCCCCGAGTTCGATTACACTCAGCTTCGAGGGCATATCATTTGCAGCACAACTTAAGTCTACAAGGGTTGTTTGCCAACAAAAGACCTTTGAGTTTGACTACGATCAGCTCAACGGCACATCATTTGCAGCATAGCTTAAGTCGAGAAGGGCTATCTGCCAAAGACCCCCGAGTTCGATTACACTCAGCTTCGAGGGCACATCATTTACAGCATAACTCAAGGCTAGAAGGGTTATCTGTGACCAAAGGACCTTTGAGTTCAACTACGCTCAGCTCAACGGCACATCATTTGCAGCATAGCTTAAGTCGAGAAGGGCTATCTGCCAAAGACCCCCGAGTTCGATTACACTCAGCTTCGAGGGCATATCATTTGTAGCACAACTTAAGTCTAGAAGGGTTGTCTGCTAACAAAAGACCTTTGAGTTCGACTACATTCAGCTCAACGGCACAACATTTGCAGCATAGCTTAAGTCGAGAAGGGCTATCTGCTAAAGACCTTCGAGTTCGATTATATTCAACTTAGAGGCAAATCAAGCTTACAGAATAGCTCAAGGCAAGAAGGGTTATCTGTCAATAAAATTGTCGAGTTCGAGTCCAATCAGCTCGATGACACCTCAATCACACTACTGTCTGGTTGCAATCGAGGTTTTCAAAGTCAAGAAGAACACCTGGATTAACCGTGCCTTAGTGACAAAAAAAAATCGCTTTCCGACAGCATAGCTTAAGTCGAGAAAAGCCATCTGTCGACGAAGACCTTTCGAGTTTGGTTTTATTCAGCTCAAGGGCCTATCAAACACATGGTGGAGTCAGAGAACCACTCTACAGCCAAATTTCTTAACCAAGGTCTTTAAACCAAGAAGAAGACCGAAGTTGACTACAATTGGGCAATAAAAAGCCGCATCCCGATTCAAATTTCGAACTACGGTTTCAATTCCATATTATTTCGAGATGGACTCGACTTCGCGACGGAGGGGTCATCCGCAGCTCAATTCGACAGGGAGTTATTCTTCAACTCTACTGAACGAAAATTCGTGTCTTTTTATCTTTGTCCTATTTTTCGTTCCACGAAAAAGGACAAAGAGGGGCAGCTGTAGACACTAATTTTCGAGCGGTTTGAAAATACGTATATAATATATGGTTTTTAAAACACTTTTAAAAAACTATATATTATATATATATTCAAAACATTTTTAAAAATATATAATATGTAATTTTTGAAAAAATATTTTGAAAACATAAAACATATAATTTTTAGAGCATTTTTGAAAACTTATATATAATATATAATTTTTTAAAACATTTTTTAAAAATTATATAATTTTTAAAAGAACATTTTTAAAAAATATTAGTTTTTTGAAAAACATTTTTTAAAACTTATATATAGTATATAGTTTTTAAAAAAAAGAAACAGTTTTAAAATATATATTATATAGTTTTTATTTATTGTTTTTATTTATTATTATTCACCCGTTTTTATTTAATTATTTAATTATTATTATTATTTTTTTTAGGTCAATTGCTTTGGTCCAGCAACAGTCCAAATTGGGCCTGAACCAGCCCATAGCCAACATCCAAAGGAGATAGGGTTTACGTTTAACACAGGCGGCGCACAGGGGAAAACCCTAAGACCTCATTTATGCAGCCAGATCTGGACCGTTGGATCTGACCCAATCCAACGGCCAGGAGCAATCTCAAGTGTCACCGGAAATGGAACGGTCAAACAGGCAACAAAATCGGAACAAGCACGTTCCACAACGCCAAATAGAACGCAGGTCGTAACAAGATCGGGAACGACCCCGAAATATCCGGGTTCGACCCCGAGTTCGCCGGAAATGAGCCACCAACGGTGGGGTATAAATACCCCACCAAGCCTGTCACACAGGGAAAAAAAAAAGATCGAAAGTCATAGCCACAGTAAACCAAGAACGAACCAAGGGAAACCCATCAGCCAATAACAGAACCCACATACGGCCACAACCAAATGGACAGTAAACCAAACACAAAGCCATCGAACGATCGAGAAACAAAACAGTGAGACCACATCAACAATAAACCAAAGGACATCACCATCAACAACGAACCACAAGTCAAGAATAAGAGAAAAAACCTACAAACACAAACCAAGCAAAACCATTCGAAACCCACATGCAAGTATAACGCAAAAACCAGTACGCGTCGGTACAGATAAAAGCACATCGGGAAAACGAAGGATTTACCATCGAAAAGGTAAAAAATCGAACCTTGTGGCCTAGATCTACGATTGGTGGGTGGTTTTTAGGGTATTTGGGTTTAGGATTTTGGTTACCGGGAACAAGAGGAGTGTTTTGAGGGCTTTGGGTTTATCCGACCACCATCGCCGGCGATCAGCAAGGTGGTCGGTGCGCCAGTTAGCGGCCACAGGCGACGGCCTGCGTGAGATCGGGAATATTGCATAGAGAGAATCTGGAGAGAAGCTTGTTCTCTCATTTTGAAGAGAGGGAGAGGTAAGTATGAAAATGTGAGGGTTGAATCGATCGTTGGGCTTAAGTAACATATATGTATATCACAACCAAACGTCGTCGTTTAAGCCTAGGGATTTCCGTGTTTTTCCATTCGTGGTATAACCCCCACACAAGTCCTTTCATTTTTGTAATGCTATGTCTCAGCATTTTAATAGAGTTTTGTTTTACATGATTTTGAGCATTTATTTTCAATTATTATGTTTTAGTCCATTATTACACGTTTCTGTTATGTTTGTTAGAATTGAATTCCGATCACTACATTTGTGATATTATAATTTCAGTCACTAATTCATGTAGCACACTATGTTTGATGATTTTCAAATTTGACTCTTTAATTTATGTAAAATTTATTTTAATCACTATTTTACATTTGGTTTAATCATTATTTTAGTCCTTTTTATGTTTTATTTGTTTTTTACGTTTAATTTTTAATTTTGTATATATGTTTTTATTATTATTAATTACCTCTTATTATTATTTTTATTTCATCTCATACTTTGTTTTTCTGGTTTATTTAATATTTTATTACTTGATCATTTTTCGTATTCTTGTATTTTATCGTTACTTTGATTTTTTTTATTTGTTATTTATTTTATGCTATTTTATTTTATTTTTTATTTTTTATTTAGTATTTATTTAGTATTCATTTGTGTTCTCTAACATTTTTAACATTGTAGAGAAGTTCTAACTGATCAAAGGTAAGTAATTTGAATCGGGTTTTTAAATTTCAATTTAAATTTTCGCCATTAAAGACAAACGGAAAATTAATTGGTACCGAAAGGGCGGTTCAAGGGTGCTAATCCTTCCTTGACCGTAACCGACTCCCGAACCCGACACGTTTCTGGTACAACGCAGATCAGGTAAGATGGTGTCCGACCCACCTAAATTCGTTTTAAAGTGGTCGGTGGCGACTCCAACCCAATTCATTTCCAAGTCGAAGCCCAATTTCGGGTCCAACCGAAAGACGGTTACGACAATTATATATATAGAGAGGGAGAGAGAATGCCCAGGTCCATCCACCATAACAAGAGGCAGTCATCATTAAGGATGAAAACGATTTGAATTAGGTTAAATTTTCTACTAACCTTATCTAACACAGGAAACATAATTCTTTCTTTCGATTTTGATTTAACTCGAATTAAAGATTTTATCGAATTTAAAATTTGATTTAAATTATACGGTGAAAATTTACATCTGATTCGACCTCATATATAAACATATTTTATTTTTCATTTAGCCAAATAGACCTGATTAAGGAAATATATATAAAGTAATATTATAACAATTATCGTTAAATATATAAAGAAAATTATACTATTATTTTAAATCAGATTAGAGATTTTTCACCTTAAACTCAAATTTAATTTTGTACTTTACAAAATTCCATCTAATCTAAACCCGACTTCATACTTTAAAAAACTCAATTTGATCCGAACCTAATTTAAAAAGAAAATCTTATCGGGTCGACCACGAACAATTTTCAGCGCTAAAGAAAACTTACATATCCAGAATCTTCGGCTGATGATTGTGTCTGACCCACAAAGGTTGAAACCACCAACTTCTCCGACCACTACAATAATACTATGTCCAAACTCTTCAGTTTTCATGTTCCAAGACATTGAACCTGTGAACATTTTGTTAGCAGCTGACAGATTCTATATTTTCCAGAACCGTATGAGGATCAGATACAAATATACGATTATGAAGAATCAAAATTCCAAAAAAAGAATGACCCATACATTGAATAAAAGGATTGCATAACTAAGATTTCAAGAATGGTAATTTATGTACTGATATTCGATCGTTGGCGGCATTCGAGTAGCAGAAGCTGCGGAGCTCTGAAATGTCCAACCATGGAAACCTGAAGAGCTTCCTCTTCATAACCTCTCCTCTCGAGTTCCTCCATTCTTGGTTTATTCTTCACTTTAATAACCATCGCCACCAAAAGCAACCCTAAGTGGAAAGCTCCCAAAGCAGCTCCAATCGAGCTTCCGACCGCCAGTTTCCATCTACTAATCTTTTTCCTCACTGGCATCAACGGCAGTGACTCGACGACCAAATCAAAATTCCGTCCCATGTCACAACACAAACATTGGTTGACACTTGGTTTTTCAATGCAACTTTTCCATCTCCTTCAAAACTAGCACACAATGGGCTCGTTGACGATCCGGTCACGTTGGAAGCCATTTTATTGTAGCCGAAATCAATTTTAATCGGATTTTCCCTTGCGAGAACCCCAAGCTGAAAAGGGCTACCGAGACTCGCATCACTACCTGCATTATAAGCTAAAAGCCCCAACACAGGTGACACAAGCTGGTAACCGGATAGATCATAGTTTGCATAATATATAGATGACCAATTGAGACCCAAGTTTTGTCTCACCACAATGACTCTCTCAGCACAAGGATGAACAATCACACTTATTCCCAAATGAAATTCCTTAACTTTTGCTCCATATCGTCGGAAACTCTCACATCGAAACCTCACAGTATCAACTTCGATCCCAGATAAGTTTGCAGGTAAATGTACAGTATATAGAGTACCTGTTTTCGAATGCCGGTTGAAGGACTTAACCGTGTAGTCCCTAATGAGAAGATCAAGAAGGCGGGACGATGCGATCCCTTCAGCTTTGGTTGAAAGAAATGATGGCCATGAAAGTACTACCAATGTGAGAAAGATGAGATCAGAGCCCATTAGAAAGGGCTAAGGTTTATGTGGGAACATAAGGCCTTTTCATCTGCAGTTTTCTCCAATGGCTTCAAATACCCAGTGTAGATTTGGGGTTTTATATTATATGATTTTTCAAGTGGGATTTTGGAGTTTAAAGCAAGCAAACCTTTGAATTTGCCTAAAAGCTTGTGGAAAATGAAGCTTTGTGGCATGGCTTGATGATGACCCTTTGTATCATTTAGGGATCGGTACTCAATTTTGTTGTCTTTTTTAGACTTTAACATGTTCCCCACTTTAATCACATTTGTGGGTCTCATGTTGGCTTAAAACCATATGGCATCCCTTCCCTTCCAATCAATATTCTTTTTATCCCTTCGAGTCGGTCACATGTATATATATTATATATACATGTCTTGAGGGATGAAATCAAAAGATATAGTTGAATAAAAGCCAAAATACAAATTTACTCTACCACATTCATTATATTATAGAATTTGAGAGATTTAAAGTTAAATTTAGACTAACTTGATTTGTTCGAACAAACAAAAGCCGGTAACGACCGAGTTTGGCTGGTTAGGGTTACTGTGGTGGTAATAATCCTTCTTTCTTGGCCATTTCATAGATAGCAATTGCCATGAGTGCCTTTGCATCAGGTGTCATGCGCCAAAGTTTCTCGTACGGAACTACACGAACCTTGATCAGCTCACCATGTTCGGAAGAACCTGTTTCTTTTCCTTCAAGCTGTTTAATAATGTTTTTATCAACACACCCTCTGTACAGAAATAGGCCGAGTTCTTCATCACAGCCTCCCTAACATGGAAAACACAAGAAATAATTATCTAAAACTTAAGCGGAATCAAGTTGTGACACGGAGAAAAATGTCCTGGAAAAGGGCATAAAATTCTCAACAAAGGACTATCAGAACTCCTATGCAAAGATTCCAATCAAACGGTGCACAACATGGATTCATAATCAGATAATCAAAGTTACATGCAGTTAATAATTCTATTTCAAAGTGATGATTGTAGGGTTTGTAACAAGAAATGATTTTTTTGTAAAAAAAAACACTCATCCGTATTGCCAGCATACCGGAGAAGGAAAAATTTTGAATTCAGTAGATGGATCAAGGAAGGCAGTGAGGTCAACCATGTGTTCTAGTTTCAGGTGAATACCAATCTCCTCCTCAACCTGTAAGTTTCAACTCATTAAGAAACCATTTGTATAACAGAAAGGGGGAAAACGGAAGCTAAAAAGGAAGCTGGTCGTTAGGAATTTTTAACAAAACATTATGTCAAAAATAGCAAGTTCTCTCAACCGAATGGAAGATATAGAACACTGGCATATCCGTAAATATAATGTGGGCTGGAATATAATCTATAAGAACAACCCACAAATGGTGAAAATGGTCTCGTAGCAGAGATTCGAATGTTTGGGTGCACTACTACATAACCCTTGAGTACTTAACCTCAAAAATGGCAGATTTCATCACCTAAGGCAAATCATTTTATGAACTTCATGTGTGATAATGACTTAACATACAGATTCCTACAAAAAACAAAATATTTGAATATATGTATATAAACATTAGTATAAGATGTGTTTATCTCTGGCAATGAGAAACAGAGAGAGAGAGCAGACCTCACGAACTGCAGTGCCAACAAAATCACCCTTGTCATCATCCAACATTCCAGCAGGTAATTCAAGAACAACCCTCCCCGTGGGGACCCTAGCCTTAGAGGAAAAAAATGAAGAACTTAGCTTTAGACGAAGCAGCAATATGTAAATGTCCACCTTCTAAAGTCAGTCACTCCTCTGCTCAATTGTATTATCACAGTTGATAGACAAACAGCTACGAATATTTAAAAAGCAAAAAACCAAAAACATCACCCTACCTGTTCGGTGAGAACAGCATATGTCAACCCCTCAGACTCTAAAAGAATTAACACAGCTACAGCTGGTCCTCGTGCAAACACTATACCTGGAACCTAAACATGTTTTAGTTCATAAGAAAAGATATTGAACAAGTGCATAGATAATTGCGATACATACTCCATGCCGGAACTAAGAATCAAGTGCAACACCAACCAAGTTTCATAAAGAAACCTATTCCGAAATGAAATTGTTTAGACAGCTATCCAAGAAGATGATCAAATACCTTCTTTCCCGTTCCTTTATCGATAATATCGGCTTTGAATTTGAGGAAGCCGATTCGCTTTCCAAACATATCAATTCCCTGTTTTGTCAAATAACACAATTCCTTTTACTTAAGAGCTCAAATGCTTAACAAGTTCAAGTTTTGCATAAAATCCACCATACATGGCCTCTTACAATAAATTTAAGCAACAATTCTTCCGCGATTTTCAGTACAACAAGGATCAAAACAAGTAAAAAAAAGCATCCAAAGATTTTTTTTTTTCATTTTCAAAAGACTACGAGTAATGCAAGTTTTTTTTATATATATAAAGGAAAGATACCTGAATAAGCACTTGCATTAAAGTAATGTCCTCATTAGCCAAAATTCCATTTTCACTCTCCAGATTCTTTAACCATTGTCTAAACAAAGATGACTCGATAGCAACCCTGCAAATTCACGCTCATGGTTGATAAAAACAATGGGTACTTCCCAAATTCCAGAAACTAGAAATAAAAGCGAGAAGAAAAAAAGCTAATAACCTGAACTCGGTATCGGACAGGCCAGGGGCGGCAACGATTTGGACGGGGCAGACCCTGTTGGCTCGGCAACGATATGGAGTGAGTTGGCGAAGTTGATGACGTGGCCGACATTCTGGGGCAGAAGGGTCTCGTAGTTGTGCGACGGTGAAGAAGTTGAGCGAGAGAGAACAAAACGGCGTGTCGTTTTGGGAAGATGAAAGCAGATGGCAGCATCGAAGAACGAAGAAGATGAATCATTTTTCTTTTAGCTCCCAAAGGATACCTTCCCACGTGTGCGACCCATCCAGGCTTGCACCGTAAGCTATTATAAATAAAAAAATTTGGTCAAATTACTACTTGAAAAATGGTTAAATTATGCTAATAATCCTTGTTTTATATCAAAATAATGGATTTAGTTAACTCGTCCTACTGTTAAATATGTTCACGTGGCATTGACTTTATTAACGTTGACTTTAAAATACCAACCTTGTCCGTCAAAAATGGACCAACGCATTTGAGGAAAACAGCAGCACTAAAATACCTCTCTTCCGCTCCACATTCTTCGAATAATCTCCGTTTCAATTTACAGTTGTGCCATTAGCATGATCAATATCACCATCACCATCACCCTCAACTTGTGATAGATTATATGAGCGCGTGAAGAAGTAAACAAGTAGAAGAATCTGAAGCAGAAGAAATAAATAATAATAAATTTTTTTAATAAACAATTTTTAAAAATAGAAACTTAACCACTTCAAATAATTTTTTTATTTAAAATATATCAAATTTTAATATTGCTTTTAAAAATATCCACTTCGAATAACTTATTTAGTTTTTTATTAATATTTTAATATATCTTTAACTTTTTAGTTCAAATCACGAATTACAATATTTACTAAAATTCTAAATTTATTGGCGAAAATTTTTGATGTGATATAAAATTTTAATCTTAATAGAAACAACACTCTTGCAACAAAATACATAATGAAAAGTCTTACTCTTAATTAAATATGGACACCAAGAACAAATATTTTGTAGTTAAAAGAACAATATTTTATACATATATGGTAAATTATAAGTGTGTTTTCTTTTATTTTTGGTCTGTTTTATTTTATTCATTGATTTTGAAAAATGTTGATTTAATCACTTGTGTTATTGGTATATCTTATTTAGATCATTGAGTCATTAATCCCGTTAATTCGATTTAACAAGTTAAAAAAATGGTTAATTTAAATTTAATCATTGAATTTTTAAAAGTTTAATTTTCCACCCTCTTCAAATGAAAAAAAGCCTAAAATCATTTTTTCTCCTCTAATCCTAACCATCATCTTTGTTACTGTTATCTTAAGTCGGCGTCTATGTTATCTCTAGTGAAAAGGAAGCTTTCAAGCGTACCAACAATTACAAAAAAAAAACTTATTTATCTGAATAAGATATGTATGCAATGCTTCAATGTCGAACCGCCAACTCTCATAAGTATCATAAGTTTATTTTCATGACATACTTTTCCAAAGTTGAAAGAAGCTTAAATTATATGATCTTTGTTAATTGAACTTTGTATTTGAGAAGAATGCAATGAAATATATATCGATCTAATATGAAACTGTTAATGAGCTTCGATCGATTTTTAGAGTCAGTGCATTGTAGCATAACGTATGTGAGTATAAACAAAGTTATTCCGATATATGAAGCCATGAGAGGAAGTGAAAGCTCAATAACGGTTGTATTTGGGGCTTTTGAGATTTAACCGAACGATGAAGATAAAGTTTTAAAAGTTTAGAGATTAAATTAGAAATTAACCTTTTTATTATCGTTTCATGTTATCGAACTGACGGAGGTTAACGACACAATGATTAAAATGTTATAAATCGATAAATGATCAAAACATTACTTTTTTAAATTGATAATCAAAATAAGATAGAATAAATATAAGAGTGACAACTAATATAGTTTACCCTTAAATTATTATAAAAATATATCCTAAAATTCTTTTATACAAATTCAATCAAAATCTACTATACCAAGTTAAGCAAAAAAAAATATATATATATATATATAAGGCAATAGACCAAAATATCCTTCTAGGTCGGTTTAGGCGGTGTTCAAGAGCATATACGTAGAGGCTACATTCGTCAATTATCAATCAGAAATTAATAGAAAAAATCTATATATTTTGATTGCGAAGCTCATTATTTGTACTTTGACTGTTTCAGATTTTCCGTGAAAATCAAGAAGGGGAAAGAAAACCCTTTAAATCAAAACCCTAATCCCTAATCCTATTTTTGTCGTCTTTGATTGTAGAAATCAAAGCAAACCCTCAACTGGACGACATGGGTTCTGAACAGAATCAAGGAACTAGCTTTTCCCCGTCGGAGCCGAAGCTTTGCGCCAACGGTTGCGGGTTTTTCGGTACGGCAGCGAATATGAACCTCTGCTCCAAGTGTTACCGAGACCTACGTGCCGGGGAGGAGCAAGCGGCCAAGGCTAAAGCCGTCATGGAGAAATCCCTCAGTGTCAACGCGAAAAACGAGGTCGTCGTTGAAGCGATTAAGCCGGTCGAGGAGCTGCCTTACGAGGGTTCCTCATCAACGGCAGTTGAGCACCAACCGGCCGTAGTCCTTTCCGGCGATGAAAGATCAGTGCCGAAGTTGTCGAACAGGTGTTTTATCTGCAGAAAGAAGGTGGGATTGACTGGGTTCAAGTGCCGTTGCGAGAGTACATTCTGCGGCGAGCATCGGTACCCGGAGACACACGAGTGCTCATTTGATTTCAAGGGAACCGGACGCGATGCGATTGCCAATGCAAATCCCGTTATTAAAGCCGAAAAAGTGGAGAGGTTCTGAAAGTTTGCTTGTGTATCGTGTTCTTCAATGGGTTTGCCTTCATTTTCTTTCCCTTTCAGCTTTGTGAGGGTTCTATTAGGGTTTAAAATTCTGTGGGAAATTGGGTGTTTTTAATGTTCTTGCTAGTGTTCTATGGGAAGTTGAAATGATTGGGACAGTAATGGGGTTTGGCTTAGGTTGATTCATAATAAAATTGGGTCAATGAATGTTTCTGGTTTGATATTTCATCGTAACTATATTTGTTAAATATGATATATTTTGAAGCTATCTATTTTATATGCTTGTTGGATTCAAATCTTATCGAAATCTCTGTTGATTGATATAAGGTTGTAATTATCATGAACAGCTCTCATACTTGCTCTCTTGTTATTTATGTGCATCTGTTGTCTACCACTCTTCAAATTCATGAAATTGTGGATGTTGCTTCTTTCTATGTTATATTTGTTGCTCCTTCATTCAACCTATACATGTACAAACATAGAATGACCGATACATGTACGAACATGATTATGAGAAAATATGTCGAAACCCTCAGTTAGAACCTTATGTTGGACAGATATTGCATCCTACACTTACACTTGAATCCAAGTAACATCGATCATTCTTTTACATGAATCCGAGAAACAAGGGTTTTTTGCATATCCTTATGAAATCTTCCTTCATTGTTTTATGTTTCTGTATTGGACCTGCATTTTGTTGTGTGTTTGATTTCTTGATTCATGAAAGCTTCTGAAATTTTTATTCTATATGATTACTGGAATGGAATTGAAGTTTCCAACATTGATTACTGGAATGGAATTGCAGTGAGAACGATAGTTTAACTTAGGGATATAATATAAGAATCTCAAGCTCGAAACAAACTGCTTGAGTTCACTCTGTCGACTTTCATGCTTTGAAATGAAAATTCGATTAAGGTCACAAGTTATTCGAGTTCAGAATTAGAATATCCAACTTTGGTTTGTCCAAGGCATTAACCTGAACATGAATTATAAAATGAACATGTTGGAAAAATTGTCTTAAATAAAAATGGTTGGAAGGTCAAAGACAAATAGCGTAGTTTGTAGTGCATGGGGAACCTTCTAGGCCTGAAGTAGAATCAGATCTATAACCCAACTGGACTACACGGAACATGCACCTGCTATGCTATTCATATCACACCATGTACTCGCTGCACGAAAATATTGCAACTTGGTCAACTTGAATATTAGTTAACAGATTTTTAAGAAAAAAAAAGTAACAAATCTATCAGTCCCGGGAATTATAATATCATGTTGCAGTTTTCATCCATTGTTTCCAGTAAAATGTGGATGAAATAATATTTCGGTGTGCATGTTGAATGCAGTGCATCTTATCCCATCCGAGGGCATTTCAGGACCGCCATATGTGTGAGCTTTCCATTGAAGAGTCTGAATCAATGGTGGGAAAGGTGATTGAAGGGCTGCGTGCGTGTGGTGGTGGTGACCACCGTAAGGCCTGCAGTGGTGGAGCAGATTCGTGTTTTTCTTCTTCTTTCTTTCAGTGATTTTAACAAACACTTGGTAGGTTCCATGATTTTGTAACGGCATACAGCATCCTATCACATTGAAGGGGATTTCTTGCTTTTCTGACATGCTTTTTGCACTGTGCCACTGACGAATTTGCTTTTAGAGATAAAAATGGTTTCAATTTCCGTAATTTCATTGGAATTATGAAAGACTATTCCACTCACGATTTGTGTTCTTGGGACTCTGCACCCACCTCCATGGACCATTTCTTGATTCACTCTATACAATTTGAATTTAATTTACTTGTCTAACATTTAATGAATCTAAATTTAAGATTAATGTTCAAGAAATATTTTGAAAAAAATACTATTTTATAATTTTTTTAAACTATCAAAATATATGTCGAATTACGTGTTTTTATGATTTATTATGTTTTAATTTATATTATTAGTTAGATTATTAATTTTTATTCAATCGTTTAATATGATTTGATTCAGATAATATTAAATTTTACTATTAAATACCTTTTTAAAACATATTAATAATTAATATTGTAGTTTAAGCAACCTTTAGTAAGAAAAAATCTTATACATATGTTTTTAAGCCGATGTTTAATAGATTTGAAGTTTGAAATTACATTTGTTTATTGATAAAATTATATATTCATATATTACAAATAATATTTCACAAATGAGACTACAATATTATCATACCTCTATTTAAAATTTAAAGTTTATGATTTAAATTATAATTTTGATAATGAAAATTTATTACTTTGATTATTATTTTATTTTTTTTAACTGTGGGGAAGAAAAAAATCATTAAATTCAATAAAAGCAAAAATAATTTAGGGCAACATACTTTTATACTTTTGGTGAGTTAGGGTTCACCCAAGAATTAAAGCAAACTATACTTTCTTTCTCTGTCCTTTCTCCCACCATTTGAAAGCCAAATACACCTAAATGTATAATATATAAAATATTTATAATCACTTTAAACCTTTTAAATTGAAAGTTATTATATATTTGAATATATTCGAACCGACGATATAAGATATTACAGCAATAATAATATTAATTAAATCAAGATTCAATTAATATAACTTTAGATATGATATATAATTATTTGTAATGACATGATTCTAATTAGTTTTAATTTAAATAACTGTATTTTTTAATTAATTATTGATATTTGATCTATTGACCGACTAATCCAGATCGAGTATTACAGAGGCGATAGGAACCCTCTTAACCCAGTTTGCTCCATTAAAAAACGTCAGGATTCGAACTCCTGACCTTGCTTAAGGTACAACTTTATTCAATAAATCAAATATCACCTAAAATTATATAATAAAAAATTTAATGATAAAATGTTTATATGAGTTAAATGAGTCAATTAATTGATAGTATATAAGAAAGAATTTTTTTATAAAGAAGAATTATAATTAGATGATGAAATTGGAAAATACAAAGTTGAGAGATTAAATTGTAAGGATAGAAAATTATTGCCAAAAAAACAGTGAAAGAAGATTATGTGATTCAAATATGATTAAAAAATATACTTAAAACGAAAGAAAAATTATACATACTAAATTACTTTAATGGTTAAAAGGATAATTATTATATCTAAAGGTCTGAAATACGAGCACTAACGACTTATTATTACTTGTAATCGCTTTATATTAATAAAAAATATTTTTTATTAGAATCGAATCTAATTTACTCGTTGTGTTAAACCTGAGAGCTCGGAGAGACAGAACAGTGATAACAATAATTAAACGTTTCCCGCACTGTTACACGCTAAACACCTCGATTCATTGCGCGCATTTAAACACTGTCACGAGGCGCATGTAGGATGTAAAGTGAGGAATAAATAAACTTACCAGTTACCACTAATGTTTCATAAGCGTATTTTAAAAAAATCTCCCTCTCTCTCTCTCAAAAAAAAAAACTTCTCGTTTATTGCTTCCCTCTTTCTGGTAACTTGCAGTTTCATAGTTCAATGCTAAAAAAGAAACCTTTCACTGCACTTCCTCGGCAACCGAACATAGGATAAGCAAAGAAAACAGAGTTAAGGGGGGAATGGAGAAGTGTTAATTTGAGGATTGAATCTTTGGTATTGGTTTCTTTTTTTAAAAAAGAAATGGCTAGTGGTGATGGAAATTATAGGAACGGGACTCATAGGAACTCTCTCAAAGGAACAACAACAACAGCAACAGCAACTGATAGGCCATTCTCTTTGAACTCCAACCCTTCAAAGCCTGCACTCAAAAACAAGTCTTTGTCTTCGGTTGGTGCATCTTCTGGGCTAAGGAAGAGTAGCCCTGGGTCACTTGGAGGAGGTGGTGTTGAAATCTAGTGCACATGGCACCGAAAGTTGAAAAATTAAAAACAAATGGGGCACCGATTCATGTAGTCAAAAAGGGGCTGAAATTGTTGAAAAATAAAATGGTAAAAGCTTAAATTTAGTCATTGTAATTTAGGGTATTTACAAATTAGTCCTTAAGACTTCAACTATAAATACCCTAGCTCATTTAGCTTCAAAACCATCCCAAAGCATTCTAGCTTTCTTCCAATACTAGAGAGATTTTAGAGAGTTTCTTGAGAGTTGTTTTCTCCTTTTTATATAGAGAGAATTATCATTGTTTTCTCATTGGTAGATCGAGAGAGTTTGTAATTCCTATTTTCTCATAGTGAAATTCTTCTACCGTTGCCCGTGGTTTTTACCCTAAATATTTTAGGGGTTTTTCACGTAAATTTTGTGCCTCTTTTATCTTCAATTTTATTTTCTCAAATTATCAGTTACGATTTTGCTCTATCCGATAGCCGTCTTCCGCAACAATTGGTATCAGAGCTAGATTAGAGTGTGTAATATCTGCTTATTGTCTTTGTGGTTGCCACCAAAAGGTGGATCCTCTAAAATAAGAAAGTAAGAAGGTATTACACATTCTTTGAAGGTTCCAGAGAACTATTCACGATAGTGAAATAGTGGGAGCTATCCGTAAAAGAAACTATGGCAACGAAATTTGATATTGAAAAATTCAATGGGAGAAATTTCTCATTGTGGAAATTGAAGATGAAAGCCATCCTGAGGAAAGACGGGTGTCTAGAGGATATCAGTGAAAGGCCGGTGGATTTTGCAGATGACATCAAATGGAACGAGATGGACGGGAATGCTATGGCAAACTTTCATCTAGTATTAGCAGATGAAGTATTGTCAAGCATCGAGTAGAAAAAGACAGCTAAGGAGATATGGGATCATCTCACCAAATTGTACGAGGCCACATCGCTGCACAATAAAATTTTCCTTAAAAGGAAATTGTATACTCTCCGTATGTCAGAATCTACTTCAGTGACGGAGCACTTAAATACACTGAACACCTTATTTTCTCAGCTTACATCCTTAAGCTGTAAAATAGGAGAACAAGAACGTGTTGAACTTCTACTTCAAAGTCTACCGGATTAATACGATCAACTCATCATCAACTTGACAAACAGTAATGTCACCAGTTTAGTCTTCGATGATGTTGCAGCTGCTGTTCTACAAGAAGAAAATCGGCGCAAGAATAAGGAAGACAGACAAGTAAATCTGCAACAAGCAGAAGCGTTGACAACGATGAGAGGAAGATCAACAGAACGTGGCCAAAGCAGCAGTCACAAACATGGTAGATCGAAGTCGAGGAGCAAGAAGAATTTAAAGTGTTACAACTGTGGAAAGAAGGGTCACTTGAAGAAGGATTGTTGGAGTCTAAATAAAAACTCTAATCTACAAGGCAATACCGCAAACACTTCAGATGATGGAGATGCTCTATGCTGTGAAGCATCAACCACCGTAGAAGGAAGAAAACGATTTGCAGATATATGACTCATTGATTCGGGAGCAACATATCACATGACCTCAAGAAGAGAATGGTTCCATCATTATGAACCTGTCTCAGGAGGATCTGTTTATAGTTGCAATGATCATGCCTTAGAGATCGTTGGCGTGGGAACCATCAAATTGAAGATGTATGACAGAACAATTAAAGTTGTTCGAGATGTGCGACACGTGAAAGGCATGAAGAAAAATTTATTATCCTACGGATTGTTGGATAATAATGCAAGCAAGATTGAAACACGAAAAGGAATCATGAAGGTGTTCTGTGGAGCGCTTGTGGTATTGAAAGGTGAAAAGATAGCTGCAAACTTGTACATCCTGAAGGGAGAGACTTTGGTAGAAGCAGAAGCCTCTGTTGTCTCATGTAGTTCAGATTCGGCAATGCTATGGCATCAGAAACTTGGACACATGTCAGAACAAGGAATGAAAGTCCTTATGGAGCAAAAACTACTTCCAGGCTTAACAAATGTATCACTTCCTTTGTGTGAGCATTGCATAACAAGTAAGCAGCACCGGTTGAAATTCAACACATCAAATTCTAGAGGCAAAAATGTTCTAGAATTGGTTCACTCTGACGTATGGCAAGCACCAGTAACGTCCTTAGGTGGAGCAAAATATTTTGTCTCATTTATTGATGACTACTCCAGGAGATGTTGGGTGCACCCTATTAAGAAGAAGTCAGACGTGTTTTCAACTTTCAAAAACTTCAAAGCGCGGGTGGAACTTGATTCTGGAAATAAGATCAAGTGTTTCAGAACAGATAATGGAGGAGAATACACAAGCGAAGAATTTGATGACTTTTGCAAGAAAGAATGCATCAAAAGACAGTTCACAGTGGCGAACACTCCTCAACAAAATGGAGTTGCAGAGCGGATGAACAGAACCTTGTTAGAAAGAACAAGAGCAATGTTGAGGGACGCATGCCTAGAAAAATCATTCTGGGCAGAAGCAGTCAATACCACCTGTTATTTGGTGAATCAAGCTCCATCAACTGCAATAGAGCTGAAGACACCAATGGAGATGTGGACTGGTAAACCAGTTGATTATTCAAACCTCCATGTATTTGGAAGTATTGTGTACGTGATGTACAACGCCCAAGAAATTTCAAAGCTGGATCCAAAATCTAGGAAATACAAATTCTTGGGGTATGCTGATGGAGTAAAGGGGTATTGCTTGTGGGATCCCACTGCCCGCAAAGTGATCATTAGCAGGGATGTTATCTTTGTAGAAGATAAGCTACAAAGAAAAGAAGACGATGATAACGCTGAAAAGTCAGAGACTACTCAGATACATGTGGAAAAAGAGTTTGAAGAAGGAGATTCTTCTGAAGCAGAACCAGCACATGATGAACAAGAACCAGAGAGTTCTGAAGCTCCAACAACTCGTCAATCAGATCGTGTGAAAAGACGTCCCAATTGGCACTCGGATTATGTTATAGAAGGTAATATTGCATACTGCCTTTTAACAGAGGACGGTGAGCCATCAACATACCAGGAGCCAATAAACAGCTCAGATGATTCACTGTGGATGATGGCGATGCAAGAAGAAATCGAAGCCCTTCATAAAAATAATACATGGGACCTTGTGCCACTACCACAAGGAAGGAAGCCAATTGGTAACAAATGAGTCTTCAAAATCAAGCGAAATGGTGACGATCAAGTTGAGAGGTATCGCGCAAGACTGGTGGTCAAAGGATATGCTCAAAAAGAAGGTATTGATTTCAATGAAATATTTTCTCCTGTGGTTCGACTAACAACAGTTCGAGTAGTTTTGGCAATGTGTGCTACATTGGACTTACATCTAGAGCAGCTAGATGTTAAAACAGCTTTTCTTCATGGAAATCTTAAAGAAGAAATTTATATGCTCCAGCCTGAAGGTTTTGAAGAAAAAGAAAAGAAGAACTTGGTTTGCAGGTTGAACAAATCTCTGTACGGTCTAAAGCAGGCGCCGAGGTGTTGGTATAAGATATTTGATTCTTTCATTATATGCCTTGGATACAACAGACTTAATACAGACCCTTGTGCTTATTTCAAGAGGTCTGGTGATAACGATTTTGTTATATTGTTGTTGTAAGTAGATGACATGTTGGTTGCAGGACCCAACAAAGATCATATTGAAGAATTGAAGGCACAACTAGCTAGGGAATTTGAAATGAAGGACTTGGGATCAGCAAACAAGATTCTAGAGATGCAAATTCACCGAGACAGAAGTAATAGGAAGATTTGGCTTTCACAAAAGAATTACTTAAAGAAAATCTTGTCACGATTCAACATGCAAGATTGTAAGCTAATTTCTACCCCTCTTCCTATTAACTTCAAATTATCCTCTAGTATGAGTCCTAGCAGTGAAGAAGAGAGGATGAAGATGTCTCGAGTACCGTATGCATCAGCAGTGGGAAGTTTAATGTTCGCTATGATATGCACAAGACCAGACATTGCACAAGCAGTGGGAGTGGTTAGTCGATACATGACGAATCCAGGCAAAGAGCATTGGAATACAGTAAAGAGGATCCTCAGATACATCAAAGGGACCTCAAATGTTGCATTATGTTACGGAGGATCAAACTTACTAATTAATGGGTATGTAGATTCTGACTATGCAGGGGATTTGGATAAAAGCAAATCTACTACAGGATATGTGTTCAAAGTTGCTGGTGGAGCTGTAAGCTGGGTTTCAAAATTGCAGTCAGTTGTGGCTACGTCCACAACAGAGGCAGAATATGTAGCAGCTACACAAGCCAGTAAAGAAGCAATTTGGTTGAAGATGCTATTGGAGGAGCTTGGGCACAATCAAGAGTATGTCTCTGTATTTTGTGACAGTCAAAGCGCCTTGCATCTAGCAAGGAATCCATCATTTCATTCAAGGACAAAACACATACGAGTTCAGTACCATTTCATTCGTGAAAAAGTGGAAGAAGGGACAGTGGATATGCAGAAGATCCATACCAAAGACAACATAGCAGATTTCATGACGAAGGCGATCAATGCCGATAAATTTACTTGGTGTCGATCCTCCTGTGGCCTGTCAGATACATAAGCAACATGAAAGGTACAAGGTAGAAATAATGGTGTGAAGATATGATTGTTCCAATCAAATCTTCAAGTGGGAGATTGTTGAAATCTAGTGCACATGGCACCGAAAGTTGGAAAATTAAAAACAAATGGGGCACCGATTCATGTAGTCAAAAAGGGGGCTGAAATTGTTGAAAAATAAAATGGTAAAAGCTTAAATTTAGTCATTGTAATTTAGGGTATTTACAAATTAGTCCTTAAGACTTCAACTATAAATACCCTAGCTCATTTAGCTTCAAAACCATCCCAAAGCATTCTAGCTTTCTTCCAATACTAGAGAGATTTTAGAGAGTTTCTTGAGAGTTGTTTTCTCCTTTTTATCTAGAGAGAATTATCATTGTTTTCTCCTTGGTAGATCGAGAGAGGTTGTAATTTCTATTTTCTCATAGTGAAATTCTTCTACCGTTGCCCGTGGTTTTTACCCTAAATATTTTTGGGGTTTTCCACGTAAATTTTGTGCCTCTTCTATCTTCAATTTTATTTTCTCAAATTATCAGTTGCGATTTTGCTCTATCCGATAGCCGTCTTCCGCAACAGGTGGAACTGCCAAAGACGATGCTGGGGGTTAGTTCTTTTTGCTTTTGTTTTAGATCTTCGATTATACACTTTTCTTGGTTTTCTTGTTTCATGTTTGTTTGCTTTTCGAGTGTCGGGCATCTTCTTTTGATTTGTTGATGATTATAACATGCATTGTGTGATGTTGCATCAATTTTTATGTGTTTTTAGATGGTTAAATGTGTGTGATTGTCTTACCCTTGAGACATGATAGATCATAGAACAGAATTTCTTAGCTTGTTTCCAATTAAAGCAATTTGATTATTTATGCAATCCAAATCTGGTTAAAAAACAGTAATCAAATTTATTCATGGTTTATAACTTTTAAATTATTTTTGGTATTGAAGGCTCCTTTCTTTGGAAATGGAAGCCTGTGTTTCCTGTGCATGGTAATGCAATATTGCAATGCTATTACTTTTAAGGAGAATTCTCCACAACAGACCACACTAAGCTTAGCTTCCTCCCCTCAGTTTGACCGTTTTTTCCTTCAAGCGTAACTTTGTTTTTTCTGCTGTTACTTTGCAGGGAGTGAAGGCCACACACTTGAGGAAGCGAAGTCTATCAATCTTTCTTTGAGTGCATTAGGGAAGTGCATTAATGCACTGGCAGAGAATAGTGCTCACGTTCCAGTTCGTGATTCGAAGCTTACTAGGTTACTCCGAGATTCATTTGGAGGTAAATTGGATGCAATGTATTTTTTCATTATATGCTATTTGTTATTTTTACCAAGGAAGTGTTTTATAAAGTATTTGTCATTTTCAATGCATTGAAGAAAAAACATTTGTTTAAAATTTATTTCTTTAACAGGCACAGCAAGAACATCATTGGTTATAACCATCGGTCCATCCCCTCGTCATCGCGGAGAAACAACTAGTACTATGATGTTCGGACAGAGGGTGGGTTATGGAACAACTTCCATTATTTTACTTAGTTCATTTCATTTTATTGTTTAAAGAGGAACCTATAGACTAGTTGGTGGGAATTCCATGTATTCCAATATATTATTTTTCTACTAACACTTAATGGAATCAAAATCTTCACCAAGAGCATAAGCGGATTACTATACAGCCATTTGATCGCTCCAGATATGGACCTTTTTTATTTTGCCTTTTATAGGCTATGAAAGTGAAGAATATGTTGAAGCTCAAGGAAGAATTTGATTACAAAAGTTTGGCTCATACATCAACTGATTACGGAGCATGAGAGGAAACAGAAAGCATTTGAAGATGAGATTGAAAGAATAACCACGGATGCGCGAAACCAAATTTCTGAGGCTGAACAAAATTATGCAAATGCAATGGAGGTAAGGTTCTGGCCCCCATTCAAGATTCTCTTTTACCTTACACATTAACTTTAACTGCAAAGCAGTGTCTGATAACATGAGTTCATCAAAATTGTAAGGCTTGATCTTGTAAATGACTTGGAAATCAGTGATTTTCTCAATTGTCAGAGACTTCTTAAGTTCGGTGTACAGATCCTGGGTGGATGGTATGAAGGGAAATGAAAGGGGGTTTGGGCGGAGTGGAGCTAAGCAAACAGTTATCGGCTGACCCTTGAGTTAATCTACTTTCTACTTGAACGTGTATCGATTCATATCTTATTCTTCGTGTTGCAGAAGGAAAGATTGAAGTATCAGAAGGAATATATGGAATCAATAAAGAAGCCTGAGGAGAAATGGATGATGAATCGGAAAAAGCACAGTGAAAGAAAGGTGGAAAATAATATTGCGTAGAACAATATTCCTCCTGTTACGTGATATTGTTTTCTTATACAATGGAAAATTAATGTATTTTTCTTCCTCTCTTTATTTCTATTTTCTTTATTGTCTGTCCATTGTGAAACTCACTCATCTCTGTTCCATTTGTATCCCACACAGGACCAAATGGTTTCCACTGCAGAGGAAGCTAAGAGGTAAAGGTGGTATCAAGGCATTGCCCGGAATGGTCAAATGCAGACATACAGATGTTCTTGCTCAAGTTGCTCGCGGCATAGCGAACTTTGCTAAATGAGAGTCGAGAGCATCGACTCAAGGTACGTTTCTTTGAGGATAACTTCCTTCTTAAAGTCTTTCCAACTCATATGTCTTACATAGCCTTCTCTAAATTGTTGCCTTGTTACCGAAGTTTACTTGTCTTCGATTTTTTGTCTTTTGGGAGTAAATTTGGTCCTCAAACATTACAGGAAATAAAACTGGAAGGTCTCTTCTTATCGAGGACGGAGCACTTCCATGGATTGTACAGAATGCCAACAACGAGGCCTCGCCAATCCGGCGGCATATTGAACTTGCACTCTGTCACTTAGCACAACACGTACGGAAAGCTTGTGTATCTTCGTAAATTTTCTAAGCTTTACTCTCTTCCAAAATCTTTATATAATGAAGCTCCAATTCACCACCTTGCAGAAGTGAATGCTAAAGATATGATAACTGGAGGTGCCTTACAGGAATTGGTCCGCATCTCGCGAGACTGTTCCCGCGAAGACATAAGATCTCTCGCGCATCGGACGGTTACTTCGAGCCCCACCTTCTTCTCCGAGTTGAAGCAGCTATGAGTAGACTACTAATAAAATTTTGGAAGATTTGACTGAAACTCTCGACGTTTACGATCGCAGGAGTCGTGGAGTTCTTCCGAGAAGCGCTTGATGGTATAGCTAATCCCTGAACGGACATTCATCTCAGTTTGCAGTTGAAATCGATTCATTAAATTGTTGTCGTATGTATTCATCTTAGACCTATTCTTGTGTAGTTTGCTAATTACATAGTAAACAAGTTGTTTTGTATATGAAATGGATAGGAAGGTTAACTAACGACCAGATGTTGTATGTAAACATCTACACATTATTTGTGTTGGAAATTCATTTTGTTTGTTCTTATAGCAGAAACCCTGAAAATACCTGATGCGCCCCTAGTTTGTTCAACTTCATGTTGAGAGTATAACAAGTGACATAGATAGAATAAATCAACTCTTAACTATATTTAATCTCGTGATAAACGATATCGGAATAAATTTTAATGTTTGATTTTAAACTCGTGTAAACTTTTTTTTATATTTTTTAGAATCATTGTATGAGTGGAAAAAAAATAAAATTAACAGTAAAAAATAAGAAGTTATTCATCGAAAAAAATAAGATATTCATCGAAAAAAATAAGATAATCTCGAATGTCTATTTATAATCTGGAAATTGGTCTTAACATGAGCTGGAGTCTTCGGTGTTTGCTTAAAATGAGATCTCAAGCTTCGAATGTTCTTTCAACGGGAGCTCTTACTATCAAGGACAGTTGGCTTCAAATCAGAAACAAGGAGGATAAAAAAATTTGGCACAAGTTAATTTGGTTCCCTCTAAGTTTAGCATTATAACACGGATGGCTTTGCTAAATAGACTTCCAACTAAAGATAGATTGATTGGAATGAGAATTCAGATTGATAATCAATGTGTGCTTTGCAATGACTCTTTGGAATCTAGGGATCACTTATTTTTTCATTGTCCTTTGTCTTGCTCATTATGGGATTCGGTTTTACATCTAAATGGCATTCGAAGAAGACCATGCTCTTGGGATGATCACATATCTTGGGCTTGTGCTACATGGAAAGGTAAATCCCTTCTCGTTACTATCATGAAGCTTGCTTGGACTTCTTTTACTTATACAATATGGGAAGAGAGGAACAAAAGGGTTTTTACAGGCTGCTCGAGATCTTTTGAAGCTTTGTTCCATGCCATTCAAGATACAATGGCTATAAAATTACGGGGTAAAAACATTAATAGGAAGGATAGTGTGAATATCTCACTTTGTAATCAATGAGGTATAGTTTATTGAAGTTTTTTTGTTGTAAACATTGATTGTAAGTTCTTGTTACTCTTGTAATAACTTGTTGTTTTTTTAGCAGTTAACTGCTCTTTGGATAATAAAATTGATTTATCCAAAAAAAAAGTTATACATTAAATATAATTAGATCGTATGCAACTCATATACGTATTAGAGATTAACATAGACGCTCATTGCCTTAGCTTCGTTGAATTAGATGGGTAAATCGCCTCGAAAAAGAAATTGTTCAGAGCAGCGGGCACGTGTGAACTTTTTCCACTCTCCTAAGAGAAACAAAACCCTAACTCAGACTCTCTCTCTCAACAACGAACATTTCATTTCAGCAGTAGATGGGTGGAGTATATAGCTTCTCTGTAAATAGTTGGCCAATAACACTAACCATCTCTGTATCTTTTGATTCCAATATTAAATATATGAACTAAAAAGGAACTTGTATGTGAAGTCCTTTTTTACTGTTTGATCTGATTCTTGTTCCATTGAAACGTACTGCATAAACTTATTCTCATAAAATCAAATGGACCATGAATTTACAGTCATTCGATCAACCATGCAAGCATACATGATCCACTCCTCAAATTCAATTCAAAACGAAAGAAAGGATAAGAAAAATGGAAACAAAACCTGGAAAATGTTGCTCGACAAACCCAGATTTTCTAGCTATAAACTAAGTTCTCACCAGCCAACTAGAATGGAGGGCGACCACCACTGGCCCAAAATGCTTCATTTGGTAACTGAATGGAATTGAGAAGATTTTGTTGGAGTCCATGGAAAAATGGCGCATTTGACTCCGGCGCCGCTTGTTGTTGTTGTTGCCCACCCACTGCTTCCGACGACGATTCGATCGTACCGCCTTGCATCGGAAGCTGCGGCGGTTCTTCTTCTTCCAATGGAAGCCGCTCGTAAGCGGCGTTACTAAAAGAAGCTGCCATAATCACAACAGGTCCTGAACAAGTTAGTGTCCCAACAACACTGCCACCTACGACTTGTCCTTGTCCGCCGGCTAAGTATATGGTTAGTCCCGTCGCAGAAGGCGGTGCCGGAGGAGGCAAGAACGAACCCGACAACGATAATATCTCGAAACGCCCATGTAAGCTCACAATTGCACCAGCCGAAGCAGGTTGCCGAAGCGTAACATTAGTAACGTTCCCCGTCCCACTCATGATGCAAATCCCTCTCTGGCGCTGTCTGGCGAAAGTGGTGACGCTATCTACGATGTCGCATCCGTCGCCGATCTCCATCATGTGGGTGTGTAGAGCGTTGGCGCTGTCTCGAGTGATGATGATGGGTGGCTTAGGCTTGTTCTTGGATCCCGCAGGCCTGCCTCGTGGCCTTCTACTCATCTCACCTTCACCACCATGGATGTTTCCGAGCTCTTTGCCTTCGGCTACACCGCCGCTGCCGTCGTCTTCGCGATCCCGTTTCTTTACGCCGCTGCTGCTGCCGCTTTGTTCGTCTTCTTCGGAGTTCTGGTGATGGAACTGATGATGTTCCTGTTGCTGCTGCTGCTGCTGATGGTGGTGGTGGTGAAGATTGAAATCTCTTATGTTAAACGGCGGCGGAAGAGATAGACCACCATGCGATGTAACTGGATCCATTGCTTCGAAGCTCCAACAGGGAAAAAAACCTAGCTGAAAAAAATGATTAAAACACCCAAAAGAAATAATAAAAAGCACTAACTAAAAGGAAGATAGTGGGAAGAAAAGAGAGATTTAAAAATATAATTATAAGGAAATTATTGGGTCGTCTCTCTCTTTTTTGTCTTTGCTTTCATTCTTACACAAGCCCTATACCTTAACCCAGAAAACTCAGCTGATTTTCTGATGACAAAATTACAATTTCGGTCCCTCTACTGTGTTATGTGTTTTAATTTGACATAGTTTATTGCTTTATTTGGTTTAAATAGTATGTGGAATAAATTCTGAATTTGAGCATAATAAAGGGATTAAATTATAATTTAACAGAAATAGATAGAGGAGAATTGGGTCAACTTCGTTTCCGCAAAGTCTGGTTGTGTGGCGGTGGAGTTAGTAAGGGTCCCCACTTCTATCTCTCTACCTATCTCTAAATTCGTCACCCCAATTCACTATCCAAGTGGAAATAGATAATTAAGAAAATATAATTTTCATTTACTTAAATAAATAAATTAACATTTAAATTTTCACTGGCTTAATGGTATTTGAGGTACTTATTTTTTATGTGATATCTTATTTTTTTAAGTTTAACGTGATTTAAGAAAAAAATCAATTTAATCTTTTGATTAATGAAATTGAACGTTGACCATTACGATATTGATATAACGATTTATGACGCTAATATGGTGGTCTATGGTATTAGCGTGATTGTTCGTGATGTTGATGTGTGGTCCATAATGGATGATGACATGGTAGAGAAATTAAATTGATTTTCTTAATCGAGTTCGATGGTCAAATTGATCTATTTAGAAAGTTCAAGGGTTTATTTAATTTTTTAAGAAAATAAAAAATCATTTTAAATTCAAAATATAAAAATGTTCAAACGTTTAATATTTTTATTTGATGCAAATAAAACCGCTAATTTTATTAAAAAGATAAAATATTCAAAATTACAAAGAATTTTAAAAACTAAATATATAATTAGAATATTTTTCTACAACTATTGATACAATAAACTGGTCATCATTCAATGATCATACTAGAAAAAAGTTAAAACTCATCCAAGAAACTCGAACAGAAGACAAATACGAATAAATCTAACTGTATTGGCAAACGAACCACAATAGGGGATTAAACTACTGAAAGACCACCGATAATCGCAAATCAGAATCGAGCATCGTGGGAAACTATCTATGAATGTAAACATCGTATCTAAGTCCAATATGATGGTCCAAAGTATAGAAAATCAACAAAAATACAAATAAACGCCATCTTGACCAATTGAGGCTATGTCAAATCCAACCCTGAAAAAACGATTAAACGACCGAAAATGTGCCAGGAAGACAGAAGAAAATATTCCATAAAGGCAAAGAGAAACGTGATATAAAGGCAAAATTATTAGAAACTAAAAAACACAGAAAACATAACTACACATATAGAAAATAAATGAGAAACAAAAAATACAGGTGACCAACAAGCAAACACAAATACTAATACCGTCGCCTGTGAAACTAAAATGGAAACACACAATTGAAATAAAAATTAAATTACTAAAATCACTATTAAAAACAAAAAAAATATCACAAACTATAAAATAATAAATTATTAATTATTAAAAAAATTAAAATATTTTAAAATATATATATGTAATATATATAATATAGGCACAAAATAAATTAATTATATTCATACAGTCAAATTAACAAAATTAACATGTTTTTAATTTCATATACACATCAACTCTCACTAAAAATGATATATGCTTTTATATTATATGTGTACACTTAATATAATTTCATTACTAATTGATTGTAGAATCATATTATCAATATTTATAAAGATATTTTTATTAAATTAGTCAAAACTTATAAATTTTATTATCCATTTAAAAAACATTATAAATTATAATTGATTAATTCTAATTATAGGCAATTATATGTGAATTCTACATACATTGCTATATGCTCGCAACGAGGATGAAAACATAAACCCTAAATCACATGCAGATTGCTGAGACAATATATAAGAAAGATAAAAACATTAATTAAAAAGCCTATCATTGCGGCCTAAACTCTGAGCCATCATCTCCCATCTTTGTAGCATTGCTTAAGTACCGGTGATAGCAGCAATGGACAAAAAGATATCAAAATTTTATATTACGGGTGAATTTTTAAAATTTTATGAAAAAATAATTTATAAAATAAAAATAAATTATTAATAAAAAATATTTAAATATATATTAATTTATAACTTTTATAGAACCATCCCTTGCCATGGGGCCTGAGGTGTCAAAGAATCCGCAGAAAAATGAAGATTCACAAATGCTTTGCAGATAGGGAAGTAAACGAGTCGAGTCGAGTGGAGTTCTTTGACATTGTTGAGTTCAATTCGAAAATTTTAAAATGGAACTTGATTGGGTCGAAAGTTCACGAGCCTAATATTTTTAAGTTTGACTCGAACTCGAAATCATAAATTGAAGATAAAAAAGTTTGAAATTAAAAAAATCTTAAATTCAACTCTATTAAAGCTCAAACTGGAACCAGAACCATAAGTATATAAAAACCTTAAATTGTATTTTAAAAAAATCTTGTATTTTTAAAAAAATCAACACATAAATATTAATATTATTAATAATTTAATTTTTTTTAAAAAAAATTAATATATTATTTTTTCAAATTGTTCTCAAGCTTTTCGAGTATAGTGTCAAATAATTCATTTCAACTTGTTAAGAATTCAAGTTAATTTCATTCTCGAATAAATTATTTATTAAACTTTAACCGAGTTAAATTTAAATATCTCACGATCTATCTCATCCTATTTTCATTAGAAACCTGGACGTTAATTTTGATAATTTTTCTTTTATAAATTTTATTTATCGAAGATGGAGGGGTTGTAAAGTAGAGTGCAGGTCTGACAGTTGACCGCATAACCCAGGGTGTTGGGGCTGTGAAAAGACGCGTGGCAGCCGCTGACACATAAAAATAGTTTTTCTATTTAGGGTTTCCATTCCAAATTTTGTTTTTGAACCTTATCTTCTTTTAACCAAAGCTGATTAACACGAGTTAAAGTTGACGCCTATAAATAAATCTTAAACCCTTTTTTAATAACCTGGGATGATTAAACTTAATTATTTTAAATCATTATATATATATATATATATATTATCGTTTAATTTCTTTAAATTTATGTTTTATTAGATAATTCAGGATTTGCCGGCTTCATTTGATTTAGACATTATTTGTATGTATATGAAGGAAAAGGACAAGAAAGCACAGCCATGTTTGGGGTCAGTCAACTCTGGCCATTGTGTTTTTTTAATTCAATTTGTCGCATTTATGCATTTAAGTGCGTGATCATTTCAGTTTAATTATATCTTTAGTCCTTAATCTCTTTGATCTTTTGAAATTCAATCCTTTTACTTTTACTTTCGAGATTTTAGTTCATTTGCTTGTCTAAATTAATAGTTGGGACCAATTAATAGCACTATTAATGAACTTACGTTAGACTTGAAATATGACATTTTAATGTTCTATGGTTTACTTCTAAAATTATAATCTAATTGATAAAACATATTTAGTTTTAACCGAAAACGATTAATAATATTATTAATTTTTTTTATTTTTTATTCAATTAAAAGATTTAATTTTCCATTTATTTGAAATGAATTTAGACAAACATTAGTTGTTTGATTTTGATTTGTTTATCGAATAACAATTTTTATTCGGAAAAAAATTATCTTAATGAAAATAGAAACGTTGAAAATTAAAACACTTTAAAACGTAAATATTAGAGTGACTACTTTAGATAAATGCTATAAATAAATTTTAACATTATAACCTTTAAAACCAATCCAACCATGTAATAATACAAGATTCGTTTTTAATATTTTTTGGGTAAACTGTAAGTTTAGTACCTAAATTATTACTTTTGTTCTGTTTCGGTACTTAAACTTTTTTTTTCCAAAATCATACTTAACATTTATTTAAGGTTTCATTTTGTTATCCCGCTATTAAAAACTTAATAGCGATGTTGATGTGTCACTATAAGGTAATGCTACGTTATCATTGGAAAGAAAAGTGTCACGTCAGTAGATCTATTAATTTTTTAACGTTGGGTACCAAATGAAACCTAAACTAAATACTAGATATGATTTTAAAGGGAAAAAAATAAAGTTTAGGTACCAAAATAAAACAAAAAAAATAATTTATGTATTAAAAGTATAATTTACTCTATTTTTTTTTATCTTAATCAAGTACCCTAATATATGATTAAATAAATCAACCAATCACCATCTTATTGAAGAAAAAAACCATACATATATATTAAAATGTAGATTCATGTTTTTTTTAATATAAACGTGTTTACTTTAAAATTTGATTTTTTATTAATTATTTATTTTATTGATAGTATTTATTCTCAATTTTTATTTGAATTAATCCCATTTAAAAATTGTATTATTAATATAAATATATATAAAATAATCCGTCAAATGCGAAATCTACTAATAAAGTTAAATGAATTAATTAAACAGCATGTGAAAGGCACCAATTGCCTCGAATCTACAATAGATTTTTGCCCATCTTTTAGCTGTCCTTCTCACCAAGTTTATCCCCTCGATTTCTTACCACTTCAAAACCCAAAAATATTAGATAAACACTGACAGTAATTAATAAAATATTAGGAGTAATTGTAAATTAATTACGTAACACTCTCACATGATGGGGGTGCTGTAAATAAATTAAATCCAAAGTCAAATAGAGTGTTGGACTTTAAATTATTTTTTAGTAAACTACAAACCAAGGCGTCCACGTGATTGATCCATGGCAATCGATGTGGAATCTTGTTGGCTATTTAATTAACTTTTAATAATTTATTATTATATATCAACAATTCTTAATTAAAAACAATAGTGTTTTGACATTGTTGATTGACATCCTTAATTGAATTCTTCATGTATCATCTTGTAACTTGCTGTCGCATCATTAAGCCCATCAATTTCCCGCCTGCTAATAGCCCTTTCTTTTCTTCAATGGGCCATAACGTGGG